CGCCTCTGGGGTTCCCCTAGCCTAGCCGCTAGCTGCAAACGCCACCGCCTGGCGCTTCTCCACTGCGGGCAAGTGAGCACCCGGGGGGCAAGCTGCCTGGGGGAGAGCGCTGGCTTGGCATGTGAACATGTTATGAAACCCGGGTTGCAGCCTGGGCACACGGTGACGGCAGTGCGGCACTTGAGTCTGGCAGTGAGGAATGGCTCTCAGCCATGATAAAAGGCTGTACTTACCCAATGTACTTACCCATGATGTTTCTTCTTAGACTGCTGAAAAAAAAGAGGGAGCCGATCACAGGTCACAGTGGCATTTATGCCATCGCACCGGACCTGTTTTGGGGACAGCCCAATGCAGGGCACAGGGCACGAAAGCATCTCTTCAGGACTGCACATGCGCGAGGGATAAACCCAATAGCGACAGCTCTTAGAGGGTTGAAGCCTATTGATATTGCAGTGAATATAAAGTTATAGTACTGTGTTGAGAAGGTTGCACTGTGGTACTGCTTATACTGTACTCCTTGAAACTGCTTATTGACTGTTTGGCTACTATAAATACAGAGATGAAATTTGAAGAAACACTTATGTAGACGCTCAAATGTGGAGTGGTGGGGTTAGGGTGTACTGAGTGAGCTGGACTTGGCTCAGTTAATTACTGTGCACATCCAGATATTGTTGACAGGTGTAGTGGGAAGGTTTCAGCTGTCCCTTACACATCAGATAAACAGGAGTCATGTTGTCAAGTATTGCTCAGTCCTGCCAGTTGTTGCGACTGTTTGCTCTTCCATATTTGTGCATTGTGTTAGTTTCAGCCAATGGTCAGGTTTTAATTATCTGTTTCCATTTTAGTTCTTTCTTGCGACTATTACAGAGAGATTAAATATGAACTTTTTCAGAGACAGCTATATATTTATCAGCCAAGTATGTGCACATATACAAGGACTCGGGCTTTGGCTTTGCTTAACATACAGATTATTAGGGTTTTGGACTTACTTCCTGTTTTGTACTTTTATTTTGTAAGGGTTTCCTGTTTTGTGCCATCTCACCTGCCTCGGCTTTACTCCGGTTCTTGATTACCACTCATTGCCTTCACCCGTTGTTCATTATCTCCTAGTCTCTAGCCTTAATATCCTCCTCACTTCCCTCAGTTAAGTGTTGGTTTGTCTGCTCACTGCACCTTGCTTGTTCCAATTGTCTCTGGCTCTGTATCCGTTTCGCTTCTGCCTGTGAACTCTTGGACTTTTTCTCCTGCTTCTATTATGACCTTTTGACTCTGTCATCTTGGAATTTTGGTTTGTTACCTTGGGTCTTTGGAGGTTAGTGTTATGTGCCTCAGTTACTATTAGCTCCCTGAATGAACTGTTTTGTTGTAGTGTTTGGTACTCATTTTTGTTATGCTTGTCAGGTTGAGCTCCTGGAGTTGTATTATTTGTCTCTCGGTCTTGTATCAATTATATTAAATACGCTTCCTCAGTCTGCATTCTTGTGCTTCCCCGAGCCCTGACACATTTTTGACTCAGTGTTTGAGTGTGACGAAGTTAGTGAGAACACTCACTTGTCCCTAAATTAAGTCACGTGCATTTTTCAATGTCTTTTCAGGTCTGTTAAATGTTTGGCTATACTTGGTCCATGTGGACAGAAGACAAAAGGAGGAGGCATCCATTAACTTCCTTGTTTTATACACTCTGATGTCATCAGTGATGTCATGGGGTGAACCAGGGATCATTAATGAATTAATTAGAATGTGTAAAGTATACGGATTGAGAATTGCATGTACACCTGAAAAGGCAGTGACTCTGTTGAATGTTAAGTGTTTAAAATAACTCCAGAGAAATCGATGTGTGAGGAAAGAAGTATGGATCTACCTGTAGGATCTGGGAAATGGTGTAGTCTGAGGGAGGTTGATCCAGATCATGGTGCTATTTAGACAGTTGCTGTACCACAAGCAGCTGGGGAGGAAGCAGGCTAAGTGTAGCTGTGTGCATGTGTAGTTTGAGTTGTATGTTTTCTTCAGTTGTGTGAAGTGTGAACTATTTGGTTGTTTCATGGTTCTTTTTTGGCATGTGTAGCTTGGCAGCACATTTTTAAAAAAATCATTGATTTGAGAAGCCTGACAATGTTTTTTGAGTCTGTCTCCTACAATTTTCAGCTGCTCAGATCTAATCTACCACAGTAAGTTTTGGGTGGTTTGAAAGATATGACTGACCGATGTCCAAGCAGGGCAGAGGGATGGCGCTTCTTCTAGAGCCAAGGATCAGCACCTGCCTCCTCAGGACCTTTGACCAGTATCACTTAATTTGTGTGCGAGACCAGAACTCACTGAAGTGACTGTGTATATGATTGTTGTGGCAGATTGTACATGTCTGTGTTAATGAGTCCAGTCATGTATAATTAGTGTGCAGTGAGCTGTGTTCCCTGTACAGTTTTACGCTGAATCACTTGTTCCATTTATTAGTGGTAATGACAGTATGTGTGTGCTCTGGTCTTCCACACAGATTCAGTCTTGATTTATGAGTAATTTCTTACAGTAATTACTTAGTCATGCTTTTCAAAAAAAGATGTAATTGGAGTTTTCAAAATACTTTTAACTGAATGCTTTAAAATGTATAAAAATCTACAAGACAAATATGTATGAAATAGGGCTGTTTGGAAGTCAAACAGTTTTGGCTATTTTCCCTGAAGTTTTTTCAAAAAATTTTTTTCCCGTTTTGCAAAGCTGTAAAATTCATTTATGTTAGACTGGCTGAGTTCCACTGAGATGAGGCAGATCATTTAACATTTCCTTGTTCCATCAGTGATGACAAGGATGAATGTTTTAAAAGATGAAAGGCCTAAAAACAATACAGGGTAGTGTTGTCATAATACTGGAATTTCTAAATTTGATATGATACCTTGAAAGTATTATTTGATATCATTTTTGGTATCACAAGAAAAATTTGGCACCTGACTGAGGGCACAAAATTTTATGTTTTATTTTAAAGACAAGTATAACAGCAATGAGTTTTTTTGTTTGTTTGTTTTTCTCCTTGGCTGGTAGCAGAGAACAGCAGTGACTGGAGATCTAGGGTATAATCTCCACCGGGAACTGGGGGACTCCCCAAAACCTGGAGAATAGCGTATGTTAAGCGTAAAATCTGTTTCTGCTGTGGAGCATACTTTGTCAGTCTGGATGATTTGAGTTTTGTTCTGCCACTTGTCTTTTGCAAATAAGGTCTGTAGTCCAAATGAAACAATGTGGTTGTGAACTATCCACACCATCGATGTGCTGCTGAATATAACGCAAGTTCTGTGCACTGAAGCTCACCGCTATGTAGCATCACTAAACAGCAGTGCCCATTTCTGCTCTTGTTGTCATTCAAAACTGGATACAGTTGTTCTGCACTTGTCATCTGTAATGAGCAATGAACACCATAGCAAAACATGCAAGTATACCAGGGTCTTTATTGGTTTACAGTTCAACCAGAGCAAATGTGATGAGAGTCAGGAGCGCTCTGAACGAGAGAAGGAGAAGGGGCGGGGGCTGGTATATGGCAGTGTATTGGTACCACGAAAAGAGTATTGAAATGTTTCCAAACTTTCACAATCTATGGATAAAAAAATAGCATTTTTGGCAATGCTAGTAAAGGGTCAGTTAAGCAGTCTTTAAAAAGACCTCACCAGTGTCAGATTTACATGTTTTGTATATCTGTAAACTTTATCTATTTGTAAGTAACTTAAGAAACACTAGTGATGTACTGTTGCCATCTCAGATCCTGGAGCTGATGCGTCTCTGTGTGGTATGGCTGCCACCAGTGCCTCTGGTACTAATGCTGTGCGTTATGGAACTATGAGAGAAAATGTGTTAAACCTGGAAGTGGTGCTGGTCGATGGAACCATCATACACACAGCTGGGAAAGGTCGGCGTGCCAGGTAAGCCAACTATATTACTGCCATAATTTTTCAGGATTTGCAGTAGTATACTTAGGTAAGCAAAAACCCACTGTGTGCAGTGTATCTCTTATTTTTGCCTTCCCTCCCCTATCTTCTTTATCAACCTTTAGGAAGACTTCAGCAGGCTACAACTTGACAAACCTTTTTGTGGGGTCAGAGGGCACACTGGGGATCATCACCAAGGCTACATTGCGCCTGTATGGCATCCCAGAGTCCATGGTATCAGCCGTCTGCTCTTTCCCCTCCATCCAGGCTGCTGTCAAAAGCACAGTGCAGATCCTACAGGCTGGAGTACCTGTCGCTCGCATCGGTAAGGGCATAATGCCTGACATCCATACAACAGATAATTGTATATAGCAGTTAATGTTTTATTAAATACAGTGGAACCTCGGTTTTTGTATGCCCTACTTAAGGTATGATTCGGTTTTCAACGACTTTTTTTTGTCAAAATGTTGTCCCAGTTTTCGTACATCCGCTCGATTTTCGTACAGTTGATTGGTCGGTTCAGCGTCATTAGTCCGTACCAAACGCGTCCGCCTGCACACG